AGAGTTCCCTTAACTGGGAATTGAGAGCTCAAAGGACAAATGTGCTGCATGCACTCAAATGAAGAATGATCATATTAAGAAACAAAGCCAAGAAACTACTCATCTGAGTTACAAAACTGCTTAACATAATTCAAATATTACGTACAATGTCTTAGAAACTTCACCTCCTTCCAATGATACACCATTTTGTTAATAATGCATGCAAATTAATTTTAATCAAACCCTGAGTGCTCAAGCTGCCTTTAATGGTTGCAAGAAACTGTGGGTAAAAAAAACTGCATCCATGGTGAAATATTTTTTATAGTTGCAATAACAGCAAAAACAGCAAAGAAAAATCAAAGACTAAAATGTGATGATTGCATAAGTATGCACACCTTTTACTATAGCAAATCTAAATTAGTTCAGGTGCATAAAGTAATTAGTTCAATGGCTTCAGTCTGGGTGTAATAATAGTGGATCGCATGAGCATAATTACCTGCTAATGAGGTAAGGTACAAAGTGAAATGGACAGTCTGAAATGTGCTTTTACTTAAAAATAAATAAATAAAATAAATTAGAATTTCCCACTTATCTTACTTTGCATACACTCCAATCTGAAATATCATGGCTCGCTGTAGTGACCCTTAAACAAGCTTTTGGACGTACTGTATAAGATTTCTTCCATAGTCACTGGTTTAAGTCTGGTCTGTGTCTTATGTGGCTCTCTCTGTATTCTAGGTGAGCAACTGTAATGATCAAGTCACTCCAGTTCCTTTTATTTGTGCTTTATTTGGCTATTTTAGCAAAAAAATATGCTCACTTGATGAGCGAAGAAGTGTCTGTAGTGTTAAACACATACTGTACCAGTTTGTAAGAAAGGCAGACTGGTGGCATTGTGGTGAGCACTGCTACCTGAAATCATGAGTCCAGAGTTTGATTCAGCACTGGGGTGTCTTCTGTGTTCTCATTGCATGTTCAAAAGGGCTTGTTATTGGTGTCCTTAGATTTCTTTTCCACCTTCCAAAGGCTGGCCAGGTTGAAGGTGTCTCTAAAGTGTGCATGTCCTGTGATGGAGTTGTGTCCCTAACAGGGCGCCTCACCCTTGTGTGCTAAACTGCTGTGTCAGGCTCCTGGCTGATGCAACCCTGACCAGCAATTATTTGGATTTCAGTCGAAGCTACTCTGTAGGACAAGGCAGTGAAACAAAGACTCATTTAGCAAAATATAAAGAGCTACACAAGAGCTAGTGAACTGCAGTGAAAAAGAAATGAAAGTAGTACTGGGAGGGTCAGAATGGGGAAAAGGGCCAGTATGGGCGTGTGTTCCTAGTTCTCAGGCTCAATCCAATGTTGAGTTCACCAGCAAGAGAAAGTGCTTGATTAATTAACAATAAGTCAGGGAGGCACGGTGGTGCAGAGGTTACTGTTGCTGCCTCACAGTGCTGGGGTCCTGGGTTCAAGAGGTGCTCTCTTCTCAGTAGTGTCCCAGATACTGCTTAAAAAGGATCTGCCAGTTTCAAGGTTACTGTTTTATTTACATTTGGCTGCAATTTGTCACCTGAAATCGTGAAAGTTTACAAATTAAAAGGGTAATGTTCAATGTTCAAAATTATCAAGGGTAAATGTTCAATGGAGGTCAGCAATATGAGTGTTTTTCAAGATGGTAACCTTTTCACATCAGGCTGGAAACAGAGTGCTGATTTCTAAGATGCTGGCCTTGGGTTATTGACAGGAAAGGGATTTGAGTGCTCTTGTAGTGGTAACAACAGTTGTCATAGTAACGTGGCTGTGTGCGTGCAGCTGCTAACTGTGTCAATTTCATCCTGAACTGACACCAGAGCCGTTTCTCTGAACCAGTCTGAGCAGGGCAGGCCCTGCAAGAGGAGGCAGAGTTTCTCGTTGTATAGACAGAGGTGGTTTGGCATTAGAAGGCATATTGCTTTTAAGACTTTGTGGCTGCTCCCATCAAACACACACGTACACACTAAGGATCAATGTGAGTGTACAAATTCTATAACCAAAAAAGAGAATAAAAATAATGCCATTGTGGGCTTCCATAATGGCAACTCTAGTCATTTTCTGCTTTTGCATCCGAATCCTCTATTTTCAAACTTTTTTGAATTATATAAAGACTTCCAAAAGAGTAAAGAGTCAAGACTTCCAAAGAGCAGTGGCAAACAATACAATATCAACATGAATAATTCTTCTTAACCATTTTTCCAGAAATCAGGACAGGTCACTTAAATTTTCATAAGGACTCTATACCCCTACCCCTATGTCTTGTCTAATCCTAATCCAAACCTAAGGCTGAGTGTTATAAATATTTATATAGCTGTAAGTATGTCTTTCAGAAAGCTGCAGTGTCAAAAACTAAAACTTTAAACTCTGCTTTAGATCAGGCAATTTTTCCTCTTCCGCATGCTTTTTTCTACACTGATTTGCAAGCTCTCATATGGAATAGCGACTCGCAGATGTCACAAAAAATGAGTTTGTGAAATTATCAGTCTTAACCAGGAACACGATGCAATGCCGACGCTTAACAGCAAAGTTAATGAACAAGCTATAAAAAAAAATTAGACTAGCGACCAATCAGCACAGAGTAAGTGAAAACACGTTTTTTTGTTTACCCTCGTTTAAGAGAAACAAATCCCTGCTTTAACCCTGAGCATTGTGGAACTGATAGCCAAGGGAAGAAACTTTGGTTTTGTAGTGCCGTTCCCTGGTTTATCTCATATTGAAGAACAAGTTTACTGTGCTTTATTCTACTTTACACTCTTTTTACTATAGTGGTTAACAGAGCTTTTATGATGGCTTCCTCATAGAGAGTAGCCAACAACACAGGTCCAGTTCTCCCCCAGTGTCTCTAATATCTGCTTCAGCACCTGGGAATCCCTGCAGGAAAAAAAGGTATTATAACCCCCGGCAATGCTGGTTTCCAGCTGGGGACTGGCGCGACAGAGGCAAAGTACCCGGGTTCAAGGATACAACAGCAGTGTCTGCAGCAGGCATTTTAACCCACAACCTGGCAGTCAGGAGCCCAAAGCCTAACACACTAAGGTCCGCTGCCATGGAAGAGCTCAAATATTAAGTAGACCAGCTTGCTGGCAGTTTTCAATGACCTCTTTTGCATACATCTGCTAGAAACGGCAGTCTCATGATAAACTCATTACACAGTCACAGGATGCCTTCCGAAAGGGAGAATATGCTGTGCGAAGCACTCCACGCTGAAAAAGCTGTTTTAATTAAATATTAATACCCTTGTTGCCGAATCGTAACTGCCCTGGAGAGCTCCAGTTTCACCAGCCGAGCAAATCGGAAAGATGGGGGGGGGGGGGACTGCCGACCAACAAAAGCAGAATTTCTCCCGTTTCCGTTACTTGTTGAAACAACATTCGGAGGTGATGAAACCGGACAGGCTGGATGGAGAAAATCATTCCCACAAACACACTAAACAAATCACACAAAAAGAAAAGGGGAGATGAACACTGTGACTTGCAATATTGCACAAAGCCCAACAATACCTTGGTCTCAGGCCGCTGAGGATGCCGACGGCCGACTAAGCGAGCTACAGGTGAGGCACGTGGGCAGCCCTGCAGAAATAAGGGGGCTGGTTCTCACACAGGCGTGCGGAGAGCACCTTCGGAGCAAGATGCTGGCAGGCGTGAGGCTAACCGCAGCTCCAGCCCAAAACCAAATCCTTGTTTCCAGAGAACTGGACAGAGGACGGTTTGGCAAAGAGTGAGATAACCAAAGAGAACACCCAGCAAGAGAATGAGAGCAAATACGGTACCTAAGACAGAACCATGCTTCGGCACAAGGATCTAAAACGTCGAGTTCCCCCTCTTGTCTTCACAGCGTAAGAATGACTGTTTGTGAGAAGCACATGTCAATACTGACGTACTGCATGCACCGCCATGAGAATTTCAGAAGTTTAACTTTCATACCCTACATGGCATCCTAGAAAAAAACTAAAATGTCAAAGAAAGGAAATGCATCTAAAAAATGGGTCTGTGACCTTGTCTCATTGATGCGATGAAACATTCAACCACCCAGAAGAGGCTATTCTTTGATTATTATTAAACATAACTAAAAACTGAGTACTAGCGGCTTTTATTGTTATAGCCTTGGGACTAAACACTTTGGGATCCATAACATTCACAAAGGAGAGTAGGCTGCAGTGTCCTGTTTACTAACAATCAACCTTTTCTGACTCTGCCTTGGGACTGAAATAGATCTCAGCTTTCATATACTGGAACGCCTTGTAAAAAAACAACTGTCTGGTTCTTTAATTTGACTGCATTTACTTTTTATTTTTGCTTGACAGAGGACAAAAAAATGTTTTTTGGTAATTAAAGTACATTATTGATCAACAGCTCATTAACAACATAATTATGAGAACCTAGAAAGTGTTTAAGGAGCCTAACAGGCAGACGAACACAAAATCTTCCCAAAAGGTGAGATTGTGTGTGTGACTGTTCATGCATGGGTGATGTTCAGCTTTGTGAATCTGCACTTATGATTGATTAGATATTTATCTTATCATGATTTAGAAACAAAATGTTAGACAGGCAGGGTTGATCTTAGTTCTATACAGTGACTGAGCTGTGTGCAGCTCAGGTCAAAAGGCACAATTGAATTATTTCAAGGAGAATCAAATCAATTAAGCAAATTAAACTAATTTACTTGTACAAAACTGTTAAGTGTTATGGTTTCCCAAGGGGAAACATTAAATGAAAACTAGACCAGGGCAAAGTGGGTAAATTGCTCCAGTAAGTGGGTAGAACCTAAGATGTGATTATAAATTAGAGTTTGTTCACAAATGACCTACCTAACTACATAAAGGATTCAAATAAGGCACAGGTTTGGCCACGATATCCAATACAACCCATACCCTTGTGAGCTTTTTGGACGTATGAACGTTTTGTAACATGTAGTCCCCTGCCCCCAGACCTCCTGGAAGACAGTGTGAAGGATCAAGGGGTCAACCACTGGTCCACACCGTGCACACACAGGGGATCTTACCACTGAGACGCCAGCGAGATGAAGACATCTCCTGCGGCCAGGGGCTCCTGGAAGACTCGGAGCAGCTCGGGGTCGGAGGACAGGTGAGCCAGGAGACGCAGCTCCACCTGGGAGAAATCTAAGCAACAGAAAAATCAAACGTCAGGAAGGCTTGGCTTGGTGGTGTTCAAGCTGTATTCAGGGCACCGTGATGGCATGTCAATTCATCAAGGCCCAGTGGGGAACACCCAAGTTACTCCCCTTAGTAAAGTGTTATCAGTCCTGTTTCTACTCAGTGTCAAAGGATTTCTATTTTGTTAACACTGTTTTCAAACATCAACAATGTCTTTGAAAGCACCCATGCTGTGATGAGCATTCATGCATAATTATTTATGCTTGCAATTCACTTTATGGAATTTAGAATCTGATTGTATTTGAAACATCTGGGATATAGCAAATTGTGTTCACTCAGGCACATCTTTCCTGCGTGTCATGAAATATTGAGGGTGGGCGAGTCTTCCAAAATCTGGATAACTTTTTGTCTTGAGTGACAAAACAGAATCAATGTTGCATATAGAACCCTAGAATTTTTCCACAACTACTGAGATACCTTTTAAAGGTTTTCCTTAGGACAAGTTGTAACTTGATGAATAGGTTAGGGATTATCTCACCTGTATGACACAGGTGCAATTCTTTTATGTCAGGTGACACTGCATTATATAATTGGAATGTGAGCAGAAGTAGACAATGTCTAGAGAAACAGCCTCTCTGAGATCATCAGCAAATGATCATTAATGGTACAAATTACTACAGTGTCACACTTCTTCCTTGCCAGCTGGCTAGTTACAAAAACTCAGCTTTTAGTATTTAAAATCCTCAATCCTCAAGATATCAATCTCAAACCAGTGAACCTCTTCAAAGTGCACAGAAAAACATGAACCAGAGGACATTAGCAGAAAGTACAAGGAAATGCATTTAAAACTGAGAACAGGAAGCACTTCATTACCCAAAGGGTCATGAGAGCACTGGACAAACCACCCAGCCATGTGATTGAAGCCAGCCCTGGTTTCTTTCAAGCAATGTCTGGATCCTTGGATCGATTAGCTACTAAGTACCAAACTGGTGAAATGGGCTGAATGGTTCCCTCTCATTTTCATCCTTTCTTATGTTCTAATCTTAAATTAAGACAGAAACTGGATTCATAACGAACTACAGTATATGCTTTTGCCCTACATTTTCCCCGAAAGAAAACATTCACTCTTTGCATTATTGCAGCAATTACTTTATTCCTAGTCAATAAACAACATTCATTGTTTAAGCATTTTATAATCCCTGTTTTCATGTCCAAACATTATGACAAACATAACACTACTGCAACCACCATCACGGTATTATTCGTGACAAGACTGAGCAACAAATACTTCAATCACCGGAATTTAATTCTTGTTTTTCTGTGATTTCATGACACAATTTCAGAACTCAGGCTGAAAGCTCTGTGAAAACGAAAACATATACAGCCCAGGAGAGTAAAAAAACTGTTACTAAAACACACTTATGAAGAAAATAAAACAGTTGTCCAGTTTGTAAGTAATGGGATTACACAGCTTTTCCACGTCTCAGACACAGACGGTCTGGAACATCCGGAACATCAGGACTGCTGACCCGTAACTGGAAGCAACTCCTGAGAGGATCTTGTCTGGAAAGCCTGGCACTGGTTTGGGGAAACGGGGAGCGCTGGAAATCAAAACCAGCTGAAGCACCGCGAGATGATGGAAAAAACACAACGGTCTTTAATTATTATTAAACTGAATTATTTTTGTAGGTTTAAGAACTTATTCTTATGTTGTTCAGTAGCCCTACTACAACATTCTTAGTGATGAATTCACAATTTTAATTTTGGACTTTGCATGGGTGGGAAAAAAAAAACTGACGACAATCTACCTCACCTGCTAATAGGTTTTAGCTATTAGCAGATTGTGAAGCCTCCAGAAAATAGGAATCCCAGGAAAACCAAAGACTATGATTATGATGGAGAGAACCAACGTAATATGACATAGAACTTAAATCAGTTTTATCTGCAAATGTTAAATTAAACAATCTCCAATATAGATTCACTTAATTGAACTATTAAAAGAAACTTTAAAAGGAAATTTAAAAAGAAATTGTTAATGAAAGTATTAATGATTGAGATTTCGTAAAGGAAATGTAATCCAACCAAGCAAGGCAGGAGGGATCCCTTTCGTTTGGAACTTTTCCTACGCTCTTCCGTCCTTAACCCCTGGGAGATGACGGAAACAACAGAAGTCCGAAGAGACAGGCCCCCCCGGATCCTTCTCTTCATGCACTCTGTAACTTCAGAACTTCGTCCATGGAAACTGTGTTGCATTCCCACAGCACTTGATAAAAAAAAGAACCCGGAAGGAAAACCCCAACTGCAGCCCGTGTTGCAAAAATCTGAGCTCGTCTGGTCCCAGCAGGCCGAGAGAGTGACACGCCCCCCCGGAGCACACAGCACAGGGACAGCAGCTGTGGCGGGATTCCATCCATCCATCGGAGCCGCGGAGCCGGAGCCGATCCCAGCAAGCAACGGGCATGAGACAGGGTACATCCTGGACAGGACGCCAGACCATCGCGGGACACAGACAGACACTCACACCAGGGCCGGGTTTCCAAGATGCTAATTAACCGACCAGCATGTCTCTGGACCGTGGGAGGAAACGGAAGCACCCAGAGGAAACCCACACCAACATGGCGAGAACATGCAAACTCCACACAGACAGAACCCTAAGTAATAGGACTGAGCCCAGTGCCCCAGCTCTGCTCATCACTGTGCCACCTGAAGGAAACAATCTTGGGTTCAAATACCGAAGATTTGATCTTCCAATAAAACTCATTTGCATCAAATTAAGTGGGAAGAAATGTCACTGCTGCCTAAAACAAAACCAGAAAGAAAGATGATCACTTTAAGACGCAAGTCACGCTTGATCAGAGTGTGTGCTGAGGTGGACTGGGGGTCAGTACACTTCTCCACCTCCTCTACTGTTCTTAATGTCACTGCATGGGGCGGCGCTATTGGCTACAATGGTATCTGTGCTGACTAAGAGAGAAAAGAGAATCGGTAGCACTGCAGCATTATAGTGATTTATTACTGCAGTGAGCCAGCATTGTGTGGGGGTGTTGGTATCATCCTGAACGTTAGGGGTAATTACGCTTAGAGAAGAGAGTTACAGTGATCTCCTGTCGCCATTGTACCACCCACGGCAACAGCAACACCAATTTTCACAGCTTCCTTTCCTGCACTCCCTTCTTTTTCCTTTCTTTTCCTTCTTAACCTTCTAATTTTCTCCTCCCGATCCTTTCAGACGTTCACAGCTCATGTGGCAATTTTCACCCTTATTTTCAAATCAACAGCAGTAGAATACAGGAAAAAAAAGGCCTTTTGTCAGATGCAATCCAGGATCAGGGCACACTCCCAGTTTCTGTATCGTCTCTGGCTCTTTGGACGATGGTGCAGTTTAGTGGATCATAAAAACATGAACGATGCCCGATCCTCCTCCTTCCAGGTGCCAAGAACATAGAAACTTGGTTTTTGGAGGAATCTCTTTTTTACAGAGTTAGGCTATAGAGTCTTCCGCATAAAAAATTGTACGTGCAAATTACAGTAGGTACTACATGTTGTGTCAGGCAAGAGACTAAAGCATACAGACTGAGATGCCCGAAAAACAACTTAATTCTTCTCATCCAATATACAATGCCGTCAACTGTAAATCCTGAAGCCAAGACAGACTCTAATTTCCAGACAGAAATAGGATGGAGATGTCTCTCCTTGGCGCACACTCACCCTTTGAGTCTCTCAGCTGCTGAATATTTAACAGCAGTACTGTTCAAAAGCACTCATTACTCTAAAATCAATAGAAACCTTAACAGAATACTAAGAAACTTATAACAAAATATGCTTCTCAGCCAGACTTTAAAATAGGTGAAGGCCCGAGAAGAACTGCAGTTAATGTTTCTTTAAGGGAGAATGAAACAGAGCAATCTCTCTCCAAGCTGAACTGGCTTTTCTGCTGCGCCAGCTCCAAGGCTCTGTCAGCTGGCTTCCGAGCACAGGAGTGAAGCTCACTGTGTTGGCAAAACAAAGCTCATTTACTGAGAGCAGTCGTTAAGGATGGAGAAACCTCCATGGGCAAGTTGTTCTCCACAGTCCATAGTGACAGCCATTGCTTTAAGTTGATGAGAGCCTGCGACACTCTGCCTGACCTCCGTTAGCTAATGAAAATTATGCAAGTGTCCTGAAAAGACTCTAGAGGCTTGTCACAGTGTCTCTCCTGAGACTCATGCTAATGGACAGTTGTCTCTGTTGAAAGCCTCTCGGCAGTATAAACAGGACAACATTCATTCAAGTCATTAAAGTAAAGAAGACGGCTTAAGAGTTATAAATATCTAAATCTGTAATACACAAAAATTACCTTTTTATGAACTCAATAAAAAAAAAGAGATGTCTGAAGCAATTCGATTTCAGAGTCCAGCCCTATTGCAGGGGATGGGGAAGCTTTCCCTTGCCGCTGACTTGTCTCAATTCAACTTGATTAAAGAAGGATGATTGAAGTTCCAAATGCATCAAATACATTAATAATCAATATGTCATCTCTTGGCAGCCAGTTGAGCAGCCTTTCTTGAAAAATGAAGAGCACTTTATCATCAGTCAGTTATAATCAAGATGGTCAGGGGGAGAAAACACACAGTGCCTATAGAAAGTCTACACACCCTTTCCAAAGTAGCACATTCTGTGGCCTAACAGCCTGAAACCAAGACACATAAAACCAGAATTATTTTATTTGCAAAACAACACTGTGGAGATTTTGGAAACCATGCGGAAAAAGAAGAAATCAGGATGAAACTTTCTGATCTGAATGCAAAACGTTATGTTGGGCCAAAACCCCAATACAGCACATCACCCGCAGAACACCATCACTACCGAGGATGGAAAGTGGATGGAGCAAAATACATACTGATTCCTGAAGACAGCCTGAAATTGAGAGGGAAGCATACCTTTCGACATGACCATGACCCTAAAAACACAGCCAGGGCAAGAATGGAGTTGCTGAAGAACAAAAAGGTCAGCATCCTCGAGCGTCCTAGTCAGACCCTGACCTCAATCCCACTGACTGTCTGTGGAATGACTGAAGGGCTGCAGTCCCTCAACAGTCCCCTC